GTTTTCAAGAGTGTCAAGCAAGAGTGTCCAGCAAGAGTGTCAAGCAAAAATGTCAAGCAAGAGTGTCCTGAAAAGTATCCAGCAAAAGTGTCAAGCAAGAGTGCCCAGCAAGAGTGTCAAGAGAAAGTGTCAAGAAAGATTGTCTAGCGAAGTGTGTCAAGAAAGAGTGTCTAGCAAGAGTGTCGTGTCCAGAGTGTCCTGCAAAGAGTGTCCAGCAAAAAAGTCAAGCAAGAGTGTCCAGCAAGAGTGTCAAGAAAGAGTGTCCAGAAAGAGTGTCCTGGCAAGAGTGTCCAGCAAGAGTGTCTAGCAAAGAGTTCTCAGCAAGAGTGTCAAGCAAGAGTGTCTAGCAAAAAGTGTCAAGAAAGAGTGTCAGTGGCAAGCGAGAGTGTAAAGTAAGAGTGTCTAGCAAAGAGTGTCAAGAAAGAGTGTGTAGCAAAGACTGTCCAGCAAAAGTGTGAAGCAAAAGTGCGTCAGGTGCTGCGGCCGGGGAGGTGCTGGCGCTGCTTTAGTTGATGACTCTGCGAGTCATCTCCGAAAACAAGAACGCTTTGAGTGCTACGCTTCTATACAAAGTGACTGCGTTCGGGTTCGCTGTATCAGGTGCTCTATTTTTCCCGAATGCGTAGCGAAGGGTTCCCGTTTATAGTTGGGGGTCTGGGGGTTGGACCTGTGTTTGCATGGCTTGCGTCGTGTCGTCGTCTCTCGTCGTCTCTCGTCGTTTGTCGTCGTCTCTCGTCGTCGTGTCGTCGTCGTCGCGTCTCAAATTTGCTGCCATTGGGGGAAGCTTTCGCAAGTGACTTTGCATGGATGTGTCACGTGTCAGTTTGCGCCGCTATTCCATTGTGATTTGCATGACACCGACATGTTGCGCAAGAAACGTGATGCATTTCGCTGCACAGGCGCAGGGTTTTGTGAGATCCGCAGTTTGCTGCGCAGTGCCATTGGGATTAGTGTTTGGAGAGTCGTGTTTTTGGGGTGTTGGATGTGGCCGTGCCATTGGGATTTGCGTTTCAGGGTGTGGCATCGAAGCTCTGTTTTCGTGACAAGTCTCAGCTGAAATGGCGATTTTGGAGGATGGGAGTGTGCTCTGAACGGGTCGAAATCATTCCAAACGTGTGGTGTGGTGCAAATTTTGTTGAAGCTCACATGCGATGATATTGTCACTTTTCGTGGCAGGCGCAGGACTTCGTGCGGGTTTTGAAGCGTGGAAGTGCGATTCTCGTGGCAGGCGCAGGGAATCGTGAGGCTGCGAGGTGTGAGGGAGGTGACATTTCGTGGCAGGCGCAGTACTTTGTGCGCGTCAGACGTGTGGATGGGGAAAGATTCGTGGCAGGCGCAGGGAATCGTGAGGTTGTGAGTTGTGGTAGAGGTGAATGTCGCTGTCACATTGGGATTGGCGTGTGAGCGGATGTTTTTTGGAGGGGCTGGAATCGCGAAACTGCTTGGCAGGGCTGCGTGATGTGTGTGCTTTGATGGGTGTTTCCGCTTGACTTTTGGAGGAAGTCTCGTACGAAACGCTCGTTTTGCTGACTTTGACGTGTCAGTTTTTGAGGAAGTCTCGTACGAAACGCTTGACGCGCAACCCTCTGCGGAGATCGTGCGTGTCGAGTGTGCGAAATGCAGGCGAGAGTGCGATTTGTCCCATGCGCGCGCAACCCTCTGCGGAGATCGTGCGTGTCGAGTGCGCGAAATGCAGGCGAGAGTGCGATTTGTCCCATGCGGGCGCAACCCTCTGCGGAGATCGTGCGTTTCGAGTGCGCGAAATGCAGGCGAGAGCGCGATTTGTCCGGTGCCCGCGCAACCCTCTGCGGAGATCGTGCGCGTCGAGCGCGCGAAATGCAGGCGAGCACTGGCGACTTTGTAGTACAACTTTAGTACGCGGGGTATCTGGCGAGCTGAAGATGAGAACTGGTGACTTGGTAGTACAACTTTAGTACGCGGAGCAATCTGTGGAGCTGGAAGCTGAGAACTGGCGACTTTGTAGTACAACTTTAGTACGCGGAGCAATCTGTGGAGCTGGAAGCTGAGAACTGGCGACTTTGTAGTGCAACTTTAGTACGCGGAGCAATCTGTGGAGCTGGCGACCTTGTAGTACAACTGTAGTACGCGGAGTATCTGGGGAGCTGGAAGCTGAGAACTGGCGACTTTGTAGTACAACTTTAGTATGCGGAGTATCTGGCGAGCTGGAAGAGAGTCCCACAAGAGTGTCCCGCAACAGTGTCCCACTAGAGTGTCTCACAAGAGTGTCCTACAAGAGTGTCCCACAAGAGTGTCCCACAAGAGTTTCCTACAAGAGTGACCCACAAGAGTGTCCTACAAGAGTGTCCTACAAGAGTGTCCCACAAGAGTGTCCTACAGTGTCCCGCAACAGTGTCCCACTAGAGTGTCTCACAAGAGTGTCCCTTAAGAGTGTCCGACAAGAGTATCCCACAAGAGTGTCTCACAAGAGTGTTCCACAAGAGTGTCCCACAAGAGTGTCCCACAAGAGTTTCTCACAAGAATGTCCCACAAGAGTGTCCTGCAAGTGATCCACAAGAGTGTCCCACAAGAGTGTCTCACAAGAGTGTCCCACAAGAGTGTTCCACAAGAGTATCCCACAAGAGTGTCCCACAAGAGTGTCCCACAAGAGAGTGTCCCACAAGAGTGTCCCACAAGAGTGTCCTACAAGAGTGTCCCACAAGAGTGTCCCACAAGAGTGTCCCACAGAGTGTCCCACAAGAGTGTTTGTAGAAGAGTGTCCCACAAGAGTTTCCTACAAGAGTGACCCACAAGAGTGTCCTACAAGAGTGTCCTACAAGAGTGTCCCAGAAGAGTGTCCCACAAGAGTGTCCTACAAGAGTGTCCCACAAGAGTGTCCCACCAGAGTGTCCCACAAGAGTGTCCTAGAAGAGTGTCCCACAAGAGTTCCCTACAAGAATGTCCTACAAGAGTGTCCCAGAAGAGTGTCCCACGAGAGTGTCCTACAAGAGTATTTGCATTCGGGTTCGTGGGTTCCATCTTGTTTAAATGGACATTTGCCCACTTCCAGGACCCACTTCCAGGCATGGTGTATTTTGCTGCGATTCAGCGTTTGGAATTTTGCCATCCGAGGTTCAGGTTGTATGATGGACACCTGAATTGGTGCTACAAATGTCAACGCACGGACATCCGACAGCTGGTCCAATCCTTGTGGAATTCGGGTGATCTGGATGGACTTAATCAGATGTTGCATGATTATAAAGAAGGCTCGGTCGGCTTTCGGTTTTCGTTTGGAAACCCAAGCAACGCGCAAACGTAATGCGCAAGCAATGCGCAAACGTCATGCAAGCAGGTTTGCTAAGCCTTGATCATATCCCAACCAAGCACTTCATCCGGCCATTAGAGGTGGAGAGCCTTGGAATGCGAGTTGCGTGCAGGTCATGTGAGTTTGTAAACCCGATTGAAAACTCCTTAGGCTTTGTGGACCACCTTTGGGTTTTGAAAATCGGTCGCACATAGCCTTACTACTAGGAACTAGGAGGCTACTAGGGGCTCCTGGCCTTACTACTAGGAACAAGGTTGCTACTAGGGGCTCCTGGCCTTACTACTAGGAACAAGGAGGCTACTAGGGGCTCCTGGCCTTACTAATCAGGGCCTCCCTGGCTTACTACTAGGAACAGGGACGCCATTAGGGGTTCTCTGGCCTCGCTACTAGGAACAAGGACGCTGCTAGGGGTTCCTGGCATCGCTGCTAGGAGCATGGACGCAATTAGGGACTCTCCACAAGCGAAGCAGGAGCGATGTTTAGACCATCGCTACTAGGCTGGAGGCCATTCCTGTTAGGTTGGAGGCCATTGCTAGATTCCTTATGCTCCTCGGGTGGAGGCCATCGCTCTTAGGTTCCGCTTTGATCGGTCCACCGCTCGGCACACTGAAAGCACGGCCGTTTTCAAGCGTTTTTTTCGAGCGTTTTCGTGCTGTCGCCAAGGATATCAGGGGTCATTTCTGAATTGAAGTCATCTGGAAGCAGGCGGGGCAAGATTCACATTTCGTGCCACTTCGTGTCATTCTATCGCAGCAGTTAATTGAGGATGTGTTTTCAGCTATGAAGCCTTTTGTAGCATTCATTCAAGTACAATAGTGCAAAAGGTGAAGCACTTCCTCCATTTTTTTGCGTTTCACTGCTTGCCTATTTCACAGGTGCCTTTCGCATCTCAAAGAGGAACTTCCACAAGTTCTCCTTCGTTGCGCCGTTGGTATCTTTGAGTGGATGTCGTCAAAAACCAGGCAGAGATACTGCGGAGTGTGATCGAAAGGCAAAGAGGTTGGGAAGTGCTTAGTCAGAACCGCAGTTATGGCATTAGACTTTCAATAGGGTTGTAGGCAGGTTAGATACTAACGTGTTTGCAGCGATCTGCCCTTGAGTGCCGGAAATGTGCAAATGTAGCCTGCAAGAGGCATTTGAGCAAAGAGTCGCTGAACCTTGCGGAGTTTGTCTCGGATGTGATCGTTCTGAAGGAAACCGAGAGAACGGCAGAGTCGGTCGCATTCCTGCCGTGCCGGGCTTCCGTTCCGGCCTTACGTCCGATCGCTTTTTTTCCATCCAGGAGGTGAAGTTGAACGTCTCTGGTCAAGTTGAGCTGCTGAAAAACTTGAAGAAACTGGAGCAAATCTTGCTGGATCATAGGCGGGACGAGTGTTTTTCTTGCCTGTCGCCACCTGTCCCTGACTTAATTCAGGCACCTACTTAATTAGATAGACAAGGGGGTTGGAGCGGGCTTTAAAGAAAGGACTTGCTTTCTGAGGCTCTTTATCAGCCAATCGATCCAAGTAAAGTGCAGCCAAGTGCCTCGCAGCTTTGCGGACTTTGAGCAGCTGATTGCCGACAAGGATGCACAGGCGAACGTTCGACTGACGATTTTTCGGATGTATTTTTTGTTTTTGCTCTTTTATTGCGAGAAACGAAGCCGAAGCCCAAACCGGAGAGCGGAGCCGACGCATTCGGCGAAAGCCGCGCCTTGTGTGAACCGCTTTGACCAAGTTCCACATGTGGCAGGCCACGTGAAAGTGTTCCACATAAGAGCACATGTAACAAAAGAAAAGCATAAGAAACTATGTTCGCTACTAGTAACAAGTGCCTTACTAGTAACAATGTTTGCCAAAAGAAAACGTTCTTTGTAGAAAGGTTTTGGTGACTGACATGGTGCGGTCCGTTTAGGCGAACGGCTTGGAGCTGAAACTGGTCGGAGAATAGCCGATGCCAACGAGCGTAAACGGTGCTAGTTGGCGTCTCGATTGCCTCCCCTCAACTTGCGCCGTGACAAACAAGCTAGGCTTTGGCAGGTTTTTCAAGTTTGGCTCACCGGTTTGTCCCCTTTCATTTGGTTTCCTTTTCATTGGCCCTACATACCTTTCCTTCTTCTCTTTCATGTCCGTTCCGTCTTCATGTCCTGTCATCTTCTTCCTTTTCTTTGCGTGCACCTTTGTCCGGCCAGTTTGTGCACATGCGCGCATGCTTTCTTCAACAAACTAGGCTTAGGTGCCCCAGGTTTGTTACAATGATTTTTGGTTCATGAGTGGCCAAGGCGCGATATCACCAATCTAGACCTTCGAAGCTGGGTGATATCGCGAGATGTGGTCCCGAGTTTTCAATTTTCCAGTCATCCTCCGAATCAAGCGTCCAACTTGTTCACGGAAAACGTCGCACCAATGTGCACATTTCAACAAGACCTTTGCGCCCATGAAGCATTTTGTGGGTGAATGGCAACTGACAGGCTTGGTGATCATCAAGCTGCAGTTCTCATTCCGTTTACTTAGGCTAGGCATCTAGCGTAACCAAGGTTTCATGGTGGCATGGCGTATCCCAACCGTACCCATCATCTCCCTACTGAAGGTTGAAGAGAATAGGAACCTTTGTACCTTTTGTCCAATAAAGGTCAATGGTGGTCGTAACATAACTTCTGTTAGGGTGGGAGAAATGCATGACCAGTCTGATCACTGACGTTTCTCCGTTCGCAATCCTGAACATACTCCTGCGTGGAACAGTCTTGAACCGAATGAGATTCAGCTGGGACCTTGCGCAACCGTTTCCTCTTTTTACCGCTGAAGCTAGTGATTCCCTTGAGCCTTGAAGAATACAATAGATGGCAGTCATCCTGTGATGTAACGAGTGTGTTACGTCTTAGACTAGAGCCCACGCAAAAACAGCAGGCGACAAGTTCATAACGCGGGCGCTATGTCGCTTCCCTTTTCCTTTCACAGCACAGTCAAGTCCAGCAAGAGGCTGTACAACAAAATGACCGTGGTGCCGTATTCTCACAATTTCCAGTACATTCCACGGACAAAGTAGTATCATATTCTAAAGGTAAAGCGAGAGCCTCGATAGCTTAAGCGCTCCCTCATCTCCTAAGAGACGCTCGGCTGGAGAACTATATCTTCAGCAGGCGAAGATCTTTCCTTTCTTCTTTCTTTTGCCCTTATTCCTTGTTGGAACACCATGCATGTTCAAGCTGTTCCTTCATGGCCTCCATCTATGTAGGCTTCGGCGTCTTCAGCTAACATTGCATTATAGTCCTTTTCCCATTCTGGGTCGTACTGCTCATCAGCATACTGTCCATATTGCTCATCAGCAAAGTTTCCTTTCCTTCTTCTTTCACCTTTTCCGTTTCCACTTCTGAAATATCCGCGGCCCGATCTTCTGCCTCTACCTTTGCTCCTTTTCCCAAAGTGTTTCGGTCTTGAGACAGGCCAAACATGGCCAAACTGACCATCAGAACCTGTATGACCTGAATCCTTTCAGGACTGGGAGCTGCTCCGTTCATCAATGCGTCTTGTATTTGTTGCTGTGCATTCGGATGTGTGTCACAGGATCTGAGATATCCTTTGAAACAGGAGTCATAAGCCTTTCAAACAGGATTTGACATCTCATCCACTTCTTCATGTCTGTAGAACCTTTGCCACGTTGGTAGCACCTTTCACAAAGTAAGGCCGGAGAATGGTTTTGAAATACTGCACGGTGGATCGTTTGCCTTGAGCAAATCTTTGTCAACAAGTTGTAGACTGCTGCTTCACCTTCTAGTCTGTTCCTCCTTTCTACGCACTGCTGCGGTCACTGTGTCCCACGGCTGAGCAGAGGGACAGCGCTTGTGGCTGAGCCATCACATCCCGCCACACCAAGGCTTCGCCCAGCCCTGCGCCACAATCGGCCCGTTGTTGACAAAGCACCAAAACATCTGCTCTCGTCCACCTGCCGCATTTTTTTCATTCGCAACCTCTTGTCGTCTTGGCTGGTCTGTAGCGTGGGGAAAAGCTTTACAGGTTGGCTAGTAGCTCAACCTAGTCGATGCAAAGCTGCCAACGACAGCTCACGCACAGGCACCGTGCACGAGCCAATCTGCAGGGATTCGCAGAAAGGCACAGCAAGGTCACTCACACGCCGCTCTTTGGCGTTTGGTGCGGTTGGCATTGTTCCAATGCTCTCAAACTCTGGATCTTGACCAACAAATTATGGAGACGTGCGAGCAAAGCCCCTTTGGGGGGTTGCTCCAAAACCTGTTCAAGCCAAAGGAAAGCACGGGAATCTGTAGGCTGTTTCATTGCCCACAAAAAGAAGAAGGCGGCTGCTGTGCAGCCCGGAATCACTCCCTCTATCTGTGGGAAAGTGCAAACATCAGCTACCGCAGGGTTCGAAAATTCATGTTCAAACTGCTCAAAGCAATGTTCCAGCATTTCAGCAGCTACAGGAAAAAATGCCATCTCCTTTCACCTGTTGTCTGCAATCAAGGAAATCATCTTCGACAGTCTCAAGGTCAGACTCGGCACCGCACGGTTGAGGACGGAGGCGAAGTGCCTCCTTCCTCTTCACCCCTGGCAGGTCAATGAAGTCTGTTCCTAGCTGAAAGATTGACACCTCATCCTCAAGATCCTTAAAGGATCGAAATGCCAGCTTTTCGTTGGCAGGATGAGAGGCTCGTGTCTTCCAAAATTCTTCGTCCTTCTGGGAAGAGAGAGAGCAACGACTTGGCTCAAAAAAGTCAGGTCTTGCTGCCTTGCTCCATCTCTTGTTGTTTAGTTGTAGCGTTTGTGATTTCGTCCAAAGGAGCGGAAGCTCGAAGACCGGTCTGGTACACACTCCGCAACGAGGTGGGCACCCTGATCAAACAGAATTGAGTCTCCGAACTCAGCATGGGCAGGTGACGTGACACTGCAGTACTCAGAGCAAATACAGCCATGCGTCCTGTCAAAGAGGTCAACCCGGACTCTCGCCAGCCCAATTTCGGCCTCTTCAAGCATGCTCCCTTGCCAGGTCTGTCCATTCCTCTGAAAACTTATGAACAAACTGCTAGGCATTGGAGCAGGCACAATCCTGCCACATACTTCCCATGGGAAGAAGATCTCGTAGCCAGCTCCCCCCCCAGCATAGGCCTCTCACGAAAGAGTCTGAGGGGAACACGAAAGCTGTTCAACTGCATTTGGTGTCCCCAGAGGAACGTGTGCGCCCAAATCATCACAAAGCCGCCTCCTCTATTCAAGTCAAAGAAGTCTGCTTCATTGATTGGTGCCAGGGTCTGAAAACCGTGGTCAAGAGGCGCATATGTGCCTCCCTCTTGCATCATGGATGAGACAACTACATTTTCTTCGTGGATTCCCATCTTTTCCAGTCGTGAACAAAGATTCTGCAAATATGCCACTGACGACTGGTGGACAAGCTCCCATGAAAAACTCCAGTCCGCAGAGTCCTCAATAAGTACATTCGATCGAAGGGCCCCTTCAACTCCTGGCCAAATGGTGAGATAGAGCAGAAAAATAGACGCACGACGTCTTCTCTGTTCGACTCGCAGCTTCCGTTCGCTTCTGAGGATGCGTTCTCTTCGAGAAGGACGTCCAAGAGGTTGAAGGATTGCCATACATAGCTTCTTGTTACTACTAGTAAGGCACCTGTTACTAGTAGCGATGCACTTGTTACTAGTAGCTCCACTGTTCAATGCAGAAAAAAGACCAACTTCGAAGATCATGAGGGTGCATTGCTCCACAACTCGCTGCAGAAAACTCGTTGCAAGGTCCAAGAGCAGAGTAGTGAGACTCATGCATTTCCCAAGTTGGTTGCATTGATTATTCTGTATTGTAGGTTCATCCCCAGGAAAGTCAGCCCAAAACCACTGGAATTTGAAAAAGGGTGCCAAATCCGGGGTCACTAAAGATTGTGGGAGAAGTCGAAAGCTCCCAAAAGCTCAAAGCTTTCTCAAGAAGGTTCGAAGGGCTCAAGTAGCCTTTCCCCCACCGGCTTCCTTGGTTTCCTCCTTGACCTTCTTGTCTTCCGCCTTGCTCTTCAACTGTGTTTGCCGCACTTGCTTGGGTGAACCAGGCTTGGCAACACTGCCTGCATTGGCCCCCCTCCTGGAGAATGCTTTGACATTTGGCATCTCTGCTACACCTGACGACATATTCTCTTTGACCTCTTCGTCCTCCATGTCGTCCGGCTCCTCGAGTTCGATTGCCAAATTCGCATCTTCCAAATTGAAGACCTGCCTCTTCTGTCGTGACATCTGTACGAAGAGCTTCCACCACTTGCTTTACTTCCTGGCGCACGACAGCTAAATTGTCTTGCGCCTCTTTGAGCTCTGCCTGCTTCTTGACACGACTCTCTTGGTAGGACAAAGCGATCCTGCAAGGACAAAGGTCTTCCACCCATTGTCCTCGTCGAGGATAGCCTTCTTGCAGGCGCCCACCTGCTTCTGTGCTCGACCCACAAGTGTCCGTGGGTGAGCCTTGGGCTGGATTCTTGTTGCTGTTCCAATTGGTCGATGGCTCGGATCACACTGCTGGCTCCTGCTCCAAAGTGTTGTTTCAAAGCTTCTATATTCACCTGAATATCCGCTGGTGGCGGAGGAACAATGGCCTGAGAAGGCAGTGTTGCACGCAAGCCCCCCCCGCTGGAGTAGTGCTTGGCCACGGTTCTGTGCTCGACTCCTTGGCTCTTGTCTTGGCAGGGGGAAAAGGATCCTGCGCTTCTGACCGCTGGGAAGACTTGGACCTCGTCTTTTCCCTTTTCCAGCTCACCTGGCTGTAGTGATATCCACAGCTTAGCGCAGTACTCCGCCTTCGGTGCGTTCACATGCGTGCAACCCCACACCCACCTCGATGGCATCCTTAGTCCCTTGCCACCCTGCGTCCAAAAGGTAGTAGCGATGCACTTGTTCCTAATAGCTTCTTGTTACTACTAGTAAGGCACTTGTTACTACTAGTAAGGCACTTGTTACTACTAGTAAGGCACTTGTTACTAGGAGCGTTGCACTTGTTCCTAATAGCTTCTTGTTACTACTAGTAAGGCATCTTTGTTACTACTAGTAAGGCACTTGTTACTAGTAGCGATGCACTTGTTCTTAATAGCTTCTTGTTACTACTAGTAAGGCACTTGTTACTAGTAGCGATGCACTTGTTCCCAATAGCTTCTTGTTACTACTAGTAAGGCACTTGTTACTGCTAGTAAGGCACTTGTTACTACTAGTAAGGCACTTGTTACTAGGAGCGATGCACTTGTTCCTAATAGCTTCTTGTTACTACTAGTAAGGCACTTGTTTCTAGTAGCGTCCTTGTTACTACTAGTAAGGCACTTGTTACTAGTAGCGATGCACTTGTTACTAGTGGTCTCTCATAAGCCGAGTCTATCAGGCTCTTCTCCGTCGCAGTCCGCTCAAACCTCAAGAGATTTCCTTGAGCCTTGAGGAGTACGACGGCAGTCACCCTCCGATGTAGGGTGTTTGCTAGTACGAAAACACAACCGTAAAAAACATCGAAACAAACCATGAAAAACATAATTGGGCGTTGTCAGGAGCTTGCTGTTTCACTTCCATTTCTGTTTCAGGTGAATGGGCTCCGAGCTGGTTTCCTGGAGACTTTCGCCCAGAATTTGCGTGAGCTCTCCGAGCAAGTCGAGTTGTTTGGCTCCGAGGAACGATCCTGGTACGACGAACGCAACGAAAAGACAGGATGCATTTTGACCTTCCCTTCCTTTCGTTTTCGTTTTTGTTCCTTTCGCGATTTTGATTAAAGCTGGGACCTAGCGTGTTACACAAAAACAGCAAAAAGGGACAATACTGTCTACCAAAGATCCATGAAGTGTCCAACAAGAAACAGCAACAAGACACGGTCGGGGACCGGACGCTGTGGTCCCGTGTGGCCGGTGCCACCTCGGAGAACCGCCCGACCTAGCGGCCTAGCGAAAGTCTGCATGTAGAGTTGCTCTTGGAGGCGAACCAAACAGAGCGGATGTCCAAGAAGGTCCGAGGCTTTTGATGCCCAAGCAAAGGAGCTAAGCCAGGTGCAAAAGCATTGAGAAACCTCACCATCCAGACTTTGAATCTGAAGACAGTGAACATGAGGTGGAAGCAAAGTCCGGATGAAAACCTGTCTTTGCCCGCGTCCTTCTCGCTTCAAGGAAAGAGGAACAACTTTCACCCGAAGGTTTGACTGGGGAATGGCCTTGAGGTTTAAGGCGTCTCTGTGGTGCGACCTGGCAAGAGTCGTAGTTGTACCCGAAGGTGTGCTGCGTGCCCATTCTTGATTGAGGAAGCTGACGTAGAAATTGACCATTGACAGTGAAATTGTTTCAAACAAACGACGTTACTTGACAGAATCCTGCTGACAGAAGGAAGGAAGGAAGGGAGGGAGGGAGGGAGGGAAGGACGGATGCAACGATGTCCCAAGTGGTTCAAATGCATTCGACTTTTAACTTTTCAACTGAAGCGCTTTGTGGGCCCAGGATCACACCCTTTTGATTGGGAGATCTGCAGTTTGTAGTGCTTTGATGCAGTTCAGATCTATTCAGCAAGAAGCTGTCACAATCTTCTCTAACGCCTAATAGCAATGGCCTCCAACCTAAGAGCCATGGCCTCCAACCTAATAATAACGATGGCCACCAACCGTAATAGCAGTTGGCCTCCAACCTAGAAGCAATGGCCTCCAACCTACTAGCAATGGCCTCCAACCTAGAAGCAATGGCCCCCAACCTAGAAGCAATGGCCCCCAACCTAGAAGCAATGGCCTCCAACCTACTAGCAATGTCCTCCAACCTAGAAGCATTGGCCTCCAACCTACGTAGCAATGTCCTCCAACCTAATAGCAATGCTCTCCAACGCCTAAAAAACTGTTTTGTGTATCAAAAGTTTGGGACGAACTGTTTCGACAGACTGGCCTCTCATTGGCGAACACTTGTTGGAAGAGTGCTCCACCAGCTGGGCCGGCCACGATTTGGGACAGTGCTGAATTCCACTCTCGTTTGCTAAGTTACACTCGGATGTAGCAAAATGCTGAAGCTAAAGGGCACAGCGCTTGGCCTGCAGCGTTCTGCGCTTGTTCGATGCTTTCTCTGCAAGATTGCTCACAGCTTTGTGCTCCCTTGCGCTGCGTGGACACATCGTGTTTGTTGGCAGCTACTGTCGCCTTGGCGATGTCATCAGCGGTGAAAACAAATTCTAGAAATCTCGGTCCCGCGTGTGCTTCAGTTCAGCGCAGTTCTTTGAGGACCAGTTTGTGAGTGGAATGCCTACTACGTACTAGTCGTCAGGAAGCCGCTCCCTGAAGGATGGAGAGTCTCCATTTTCAGATGCAAAAGAACGAGGCAACAGAAAACCCCATTGACAGCAAGAGCGACAAAAGTTTCAACAAGAACCAGCCTCAGTGACAGCGACGACTGAGAAAAAAGACAAACATGTTAACAACAACAACAGCAACAGCAACAACAACAACAACAACAACAAACAAACAAAAGCAGAACAGCCGACCAACCACAAAATGTGGGTTACTCCCCATCAAAATGACCCTTGCAAAGATCTTCGTTCGCCAATTTCAGGAATATGTGCGGCATCCAGAATTGTTGCAATTCCCGGATGACATCGCGGTGCCGCGCTCAGGGACGACGGGTACTTGGCCGACTTGGCGAGATTTGTGAACCGATTTCTGAGGATTTTGGTGGGTCCAAAGCTTAGAAGTCGACCATGACTCTAAGTCTACTTTCGCGTTTCGTCAGGATGGACGAAGTGGAAACAAAGCTCAGAGAGCTCTTGAATCTGCAAAAATGGCTCAGCCAGCTGCAAGAGCGCCTTGACACTTACATGGGCTATCAGGAGCGCTCTTGAGCTGAAAAGAGGGGCGCTCTGTGATTCAGGAAGTTCATATGTTAGTAGCGATGCCAGGAGCCCCCCTAGTAGCATCCTTGCTCCTAGTAGCGATGCCCTTTGTTGCTAGTAGCTTCTTGCTCCTAGTAGTAAGGCCAGGAGCCCCTAGTAGCGTCGTTGCTCCTAACATTAAAGAGGTCACAGAGTTGCACGGTCACCAGGAAGTTCTTACAGACATCAGTTCAGATCAGTTCTGCGTTCCTTGACAGCACAAACTTGTGCTTCCAATTTTATACTTTTTTTGAAATCCTAAGGATCATTTTGTATCATCGCATCCTGAGGACTTGAGTGATGCGTGGCTACAGTTGTCGAGGCGATGTGACCTTTGGCGAACTTATCATGAGTGGCTTACAAAATGCATTTTGGCAGAAAAGAGCGAAACACATTTTCGCTTAGAGAAACAACATGCAAACTTTTATGCAACCTCTTGTTTTTCTCATTCTACGACACGTTGCTTGTTTACAGCTGACTGAGGTTCTTTGTGGTTGCCGGCTGAAGCTCGTTGGAGAAGTTGTTCCTTTCTCCAAGGGTTGCGGGTGCGTAGTGAGCTAAATCCGTTGGTCATTTTGCTTTCTGTTTACTTGGAGGATTCCTGGAAAGTCCTTGTTGCTCCATTGCTCTTGCACTTTGAGCTGTCGCTAAGGATTTGTTGAGCACGGACCTTGTCAAAATATCTCTGGAGGTTCAGCGTCAAGCGAGTGCACATGGCATACGAAACCTTGTTTATGATTGAACACCGATGTCACGCTTGATGCTACAATGGTGTTTTCAGAACATGAATCTATCAAGTTGAATTCTATCAGCCACTCCACTAGTTTCCCTAAAAATCCAGGAACCAAATGAATAGCGTGAGATATCCCGCGTCCTAGCTAGGAGCGTCCTACTTAATAGCTACTCTAGCTACCTTTTCTAGTGGCCTACCCTGTCCTACTTAAGAGCGATGGCCTATGGCCTCCTCCCTAATAATAGCGATGGCCTCCTACCGAAGAGCGATGGCCTCCAACTCCAACCTAATAGCGATTAGCTACTCTAGCTACCCAAGAAGAAGCTTGTCACTTTGTCCAGCTTTGTCAAGCGTCTTGAGGCCGCTGCTTTGTGGACGAGGGCCTCTCAAGCACAAACGGACCTGCCCGAGAACAGGGTTTTTGAGAATCTCCGCCGACAGCATCTTGGACAACTTGCAAAGCTCAGAATAGCCAAGTCTTCACTCGAACACGCGCAACAACGTTTGATGTTTTTCTATTTTCGCACGCGCAACAACATTTGATGGGTTTTTCTTCCAGTGTGTGGGAGCTTGTTATCCCCTAGCTGCTCTGAGTCTTCTCTCTGAGTGCTTCGTATTTTCTTTTCGTTTCCTTCTGCTTGGCGCTGTACTTTCTTTTTGCTTCCTTCTTGGCGCTGCAAATTCTTTTCGCTTCGTTCTGCTTGGTGCAGCATTTTCTTTTTCGCTTCGTTCTGCTTGGCTCTGCTTTTTCTTTACGCTTCGATCTGCTTGTCGCGGCATTGTCTTTTCGCTTCGTTCTGCTTGGCTCTGCTTTTTCTTTACGCTTCGATCTGCTTGGCGCTGCCTTTTCTTTTCACTTTGTTCTGCTTGGCGGGGCATTTTCTTTTTGCTTTGTTCTGCTTGGCGCTGCATTTTCTTTACACTTCGATCTGCTTGGCGCTGCCTTTTCTTTTCGCTTTGTTCTGCTTGGCCCTGCGTTTTCTTTTCGCTTCGTTCTGCTTGGCGCTGCGTTTTTCTTTTTGCTTCGTTCTGCTTGGCGCTGCATTTTCTTTTCGCTTCGTTCTGCTTGGCGCTGCATTTTCTTTTCCCTTCGTTCTGCTTGGCGCTGCGTTTTCTTTTCGCTTCGCTCTGCTTGGCGCTGCGTTCTATTTTTGCTTCGCTCTGCTTGGCGCTGCGTTTTCTTTTCGCTTCGTTCTGCTTGGCGCTGCGTTTTCTTTTCGATCGCTTCGTTCTGCTTGGCGCTGCGTGTTCTTTTCGCTTCGTTCTGCTTGGCGCTGCGTTTTCTTTTCGCTTCGTTCTGCTTGGCGCTGCGTTTTCTTTTCGCTTCGTTCTGCTTGGCGCTGCGTTTTCTTTTCGCTTCGTTCTGCTTGGCGCTGCGTTTTCTTTTCGCTTCGTTCTGCTTGGCGCTGCATTTTCTTTTTGTTGCTTTGGACGCCGTGACGGTCGGCCACATGGCTGTCAGTACACCGGCGCCACCGTCACGTCTCAGCGGCCTCGCCGTCGGTGTTTGTCGCCAGGGTCTAGATGTCGATGTTCGGTTTCGGCCTGCCCTGCCGCCCTGTTTTGTTCGAAAGAACACAGACATTGAAGGGAAATAGATGATATGTCAAAGTGAAGAATAGAAAAGGGGAAATGGAACGGAACTAACACGGAAACAACCTGTAGCATTGGGTTCTTCTTTGTTACAACATCATGTTACACCATGGCCATACATTCTCTTCACGTGCTGTATGGTCGGCGTACAGACTCAGCACACGTCCACGGGATTATGCCGCTGTGCCGGTGCAAAACGAGATTTGCGTGTTAAACGAGATGGTCAGCTGTTGAAGTTAAGCCGCATAGGCACGGCGCAGCGGAAACCGTTTCGCTCTTGTTCCGGATCGAGTCGTTTCGCTTCTCCCGCTCACTTCACGCGATCTGCGTCTACTTACTAAGCTTCCTACTATCTCCTGGCTCTTCTCCTCCCCTCACACCCTTCATGCTCCAAAGATGAGTTGCATCTTGTCTGAGGCTGCTTTATCTTCAAGACTTGATTCCCATGTTGGAAGTACTGCAAAATCCGCATTTGAGAAGCCGTCACTGGGCCGCATTGTCACATGTCCTTGACCTGAAAGTGGGCAAAGATGGTGCACCTCTTCTGACCTTCGGCCAGGCAGGGTCACCGGCAGGGCCTGGCAGGGTGGAAGAACACCACGCAGGTTTTATGATGTTTTATGTGCGCAGAAACTCTGGAGGCGGTGAGTTGGAATCTGGGTGCATTTTTGCCCGAGCTCTTGGCCGTTGCGAACCGTGCTACACAAGAGCATCACATTGAAGTGGCCTTGGAGCACCTCACCGACATTTGGGGCCTCTTGGATAAATTGATTCCATCTAAATAAGATGCTTTTGATTTCAACAAGAGCTGACAGACGCGATACTAGCTTCCCATTTCAATGTTGAAACGAGGTGGCATGGAGTTGCCCATTGAGCGCAACGAAGATGGAATTGGTTTTGCGTCGCTGCAATTGCTACAAGACGAGCTGGCCAAAAGTCAACAATTGGTCGCCGCAGCGTTCGCTTCTGCTGTGCACGGTGACCGGGCAAAGCCCTGGCAGGCGAAGCAGCGCTCGTTGCTGTTCTTTGTATTTGATCGATTTATATTGGTTTATTTTTTGTTCATATTGTTTGCCCTATTAGCCTTTCTATTTACTGTTTGCACATTTGTTCCTAACACTGTCTGATGGCGCGACCAACTGCTACATCGACTCGGATTGAACAGTTCAGGTAAACTCCTTTAAAGAAACACGCGCTGGGAAAGGTGTTGGGTACAGAATCAGTTGAGCTGTGTGGAAGTCCAGAACCTCCTATAAGTCTGCGCCCTACAGTGTACGGATGAACGACAACACCGTCGGAAGCGCTGAAGACTGTATACGCTCGGGGCACCGTCAATGAGTTGGTCATGAAAAACCATGCATCAAACACTGGAAAATACATGACTGAACAGCAGGCGCGTTGAATCCCCGTCCCGCCATATCAGTGACTCCGAACAGCCTCTTCGTTGGACTGCCGCTGTTGCGAGGAGTCAGGCAGGCAGTCCCCTGCCGTTTATTCTTTAATTTGTAAGCACTTTGTAATAGCGGTTTACGCGCGCAATGCCCCTTCTGCGGGCAACAAGCAAAGGCCGAAGAGCACTTGCCCTTTCCAGTACAACAAGGTGAAGCCTAGAAAGAGGGGCCTCCTCATACCCGACAAGTTAAACAAACCAAGCATACCCACGCACGCTGTGCGTGCGTTGTTTCCTTAGTCTTACGTTCGGCTGTTTGTTGCAGCAGTGTTGTAGTCCGGCGCAACAAGGAAAGGCCTACAAGAGGGGGTTCCTCGTACCCCTAACGTCGCCTCACGAAAAGGAAGCCGAAAGTCTGAGAAGGCCCCCGTCTGCGAATAAGGTCCTGACTACCTGAAATCTAAGTGACGGGCGACCTATAAACCGCAGCCTTCAGAGTTTGGCGTCAAGTACAACACAGTGAGGCCAAATTGAAGAGGGTTTTCCTCATACCCAAAGGGTAGGCGGGTAGGACGGTTTGTATATGTTGCTGGCCGGGCGCTACGATAATATGCTCGCAACAATTCCATACGCAAGCCCCCCAAAGGGCCGATACGGGTTTAGTCAAGTACAACCTGGTAAGGGCCTTTTTAGCGTCAAAATTGTGCCCCAGGGTGTGTCTTATCGTTGCCCGCCATCTTGCATCGGCGCATTCGTGCCCAACGCCATCTGATTTTTGTCTTCTTGAGTCACACCACGGTAGTTCCGCCCCTTTTCGGTGCGGGATGCCAGCAGGATGGAAGGCAAGCTCGCAAAAGGGCAATTGGGGGTCTGGCTGGTGGTGTTCGGTGTGCTCGATCTACAGTGGAACTGCAAGGTGGTCTTGCAAACAATGTGGATTCCAAGCGTCCCCAAGTCCAGAGCGCGTTCCCAATCCTTGTGGAAGTTTCTTGTTATGTTTGCGATAAGTGGTTGAAAGGCAGGGCTGCTCTCACGCAGCGCTTGAAGATCCTTATTTAGCCCATTTTCTCCGGACAGTACCTGCCCGGTGCGCCGGAAACTTTTCAGTTCCCGTGCTCGGACGTTGCAGCGCGTGTGCCATTCTAGTTGTGGTGCTGTGCTTGGCGAGGGGTCTTTTCCCTTAGTTGACCTGGATATTTTTGAGTCCTTGAACAGGCAGGGCATGTTAAAAGTGGCAGTAAGTTTGGGATGCACCCTTTTTCGTTGCCTTGATGGCAACTTCTGATGGCAACTTCGTTGCTCCGTCGGACGCTCAGTGCAGCAGAATGGGACCCAAAAAACAACCTGGTAAGTACCCAACGAGTAGCGCAGTTTGTGTAGATTGCTGGCAGTCTGCTATGCTCACAGTGACTGCGCGCATCAGGAACAACACGGTGAAGCCTAAAAGAAAGAGAATAGTTTCCTCGTATCCAACAGGCAGTGCAGCTTGTATACTCCAGTACAACACAGCGAAGCCGAAAACCGAGGGGCTTCCCTCGTACCCAACATGTCGTCGCTCAAGCGTGGCTTGACAAGCCGTTGGATAGGCTCACGCCATGCAACTCGTCAAGAACCAAACAATTAGATTCCACAGGCCGAACCAACAAGGTCCATCCCAGAAATGTGGGGAGGGGTTTATCCGTACCAAGCCAAAAAGATAAAGGGACTCGCTTTCTGAACCTCGGTTGGGCGCGCGCGAGAGGAGGTGGAGACATAAAGAAAACGCCTGACAGCCAGGCTTTGCTCTGCGCAAATGCGCTTCAGGCCCAGGCGATGTGCGTGCTAAAGAGAGAAAGAATGAGATGCCGAGACCTGAAGACTGGAAAGACACGAAAAGGAGTGTATGAAAGGGAAACTAGGTGGCTAGGGACCAACCAGACAAAGTCGTGCCTCATTGTCGACACCTGAGCGCCTGGCGTGGTTGAGTTTGCAACTGCGAGTTGCGCGTTGAAGGTCTGCGCTAGATGTCCCCAAAGCAAGCTTTTCGTCAACGGTTTGTCTTTAGACCGCGCACTTTGCACGACGCAAGCCACTGACTATCTCTGCGCTTGTGCAAGGTTCGAAACTCACAAAACATGGGACATTCCTCACTGACCCCACAAAAACCTTCTAGAGCAACCAAGGCCGCTCGACGGTGTCTGGCGCGCGTTCGATCGCGCGCTGGAAGGGTGTAGGGGAGCAGGATCAGAGCGGTGTGGAGCGCTGAAGACTGTATACGCTCGGGCCAGCAAAAAAAGAGTCACAGCTGGTAAGTACATGACTGAACAGCAGGTGCGTCGAATCCCCGTCCCGAATCCGTATCAGTGACTCCGAACAGCCTCTTCGTTGGACTGCCGCTGTTGCGAGGAGTCAGGCAGGCAGTCCCCTGCCGTTTATTCTTTAATTTGTAAGCCCTTTGTAATAGCGGCTTAGACACACTCGAGATATGGTTCGTTTAGTCTTAATGCCACTTACCCTGAAGCTGCCTAAGTATTTCAAATTTTAAGTCTTCAATAGACAGGGTTGAAGTGGTGCTGCGTCTGACCGTCAAAACCACCATAAAAGGACGCAAGTTCAATAGAATTTGCAGTTCCAGGTTCCAAGGCTCATTGTGTCACCGCAGAGTGCAAACCAATGCACAATTCAAAGCTTGTTACAAAGACGACCTGGACTTCAAGAGGTAGCCAAGCCATCGCAGGTACGCCAGACTGATCAGGTTTGCCTTCACCACCAATTGCAAGCGTCTTTGTTGGCAGGAGTCTTGCAACGGCGCTCTTGCCCTCTGCTTAAAAGCTTTTGGCACCCCCTGTGACTCCGCAGGTAACACACACACACACACGTGGCCAACAACCCCTGGGCAGCAAAGTGGATGCGAAAACGCACGTGCGCGCAGACAAGAGAGAATGACCAGACATGAAAAATAGGACGCGAAAGGGGCCAAGGTGTAATGGAGAGAAAACCGTGCAGCAACCAGATAGCCACTGGGGCGCCTGAAAGCCGAGCTTGCTTGTAGTTGTGCACGTGCACGCTAAGGTCGGTGCAAGTAGTGCGCAGGCAAGAGAAGAAAGGGGATGATGACAAGACCTGAAGATGGCGGAACAGACATGGATGAAGAGGCCGAAAGGTGTGCAGTTGCAACAAAAGAAGGAAACCAGGTGAAGCAGACAAGCCGAACAAAAAGGCCCGAACCTCATTGTCAAACCTGGGGCAAATCGCCTAGCTAAGGTTGCGTGTAAGCCGCGCGCGTAGTTAAGGCCCGGACCGAGACCCAACGATCTCAATCGAACGTACGGTCACTGCGACCACCTTGCGCCGTGTGCGCCCGCAGTGGGCTACTTAGCCATCCGGCCTGCTCCACGTTTCACGAGGGGTCAAATCTTAATCACTGGTCTAGACACCTTCTTCTCGGGCAGGGAGAAAGAGACAGGGCTCACTCCCTGCGGTGCGAGGCCAGACACACGTTGAAGCTGCCTAAGTATTTCAAATTTTAAGTCTTCAATAGACAGGGTTGAAGTGGTGCCGCGTCTGAACGTCAAAACCACCATAAAAGGACGCAAGTTCAATAGAATTTGCAGTTCCAGGTTCCAAGGCTCATTAGAGTGCAAGAGACGACCATGGCCCAAGACGTAGCGTCAAGTCATCACTGCAGGTCAGGATGTTAGAAGTGGACACCGTATATGGGTTCACGTAGATTTCCGTCATGATCAGCGTTTCTTGAAAGCCATGGATGTCTAATTGCATCATCATGGGCAAGATATAGTGTAGCTCGGAGGGCATCAGGGCTGATCGCCTTGACGTACCCTGTGTTTTGACCGCTACCCACTTGGCCTGTGCGCGTAGTGTGGAAGACCTTGTCCATTGCTCCGGTTTTCTGAATCTTTAGATTCAGATGCGTCATTTAGGGTTCGGAGGATGTTTAGACCGTCATGAAGCATGTTTCGCCTGGTTTTCGGAGTGGCGTGTGGCATTCATACCGTACTTTTTCTCGAATGCGTCTCTCTCTCATTGAAAGCTTGGAGTGACCCAAAGGAGTGCCTCCCAGTGGCCCCAGTCGAACGGGAGCGTCATCCTTGCGTTCAGCAAGCGCAGGAGCCCATAGCGGGCTATAGTTAGAATCTGATACCTTCGTGTTGACTGGAGCAAACTTTTTGCCAGAAGGTGTCCATAGCAGGCGAGAGGAACCAGCGCTACCCTGCTACGCAGGCAGAGCAGACCGCAGAGGTTGCTGTCACTGTTGAGTGAGCTCCAGACCCGTCATAACGTAACGCACGCACGCTTTTCATACATAGCCAGGCTAGGTCGCCCAGGTTTTCTTTAATGGGGTTTGGGCCTTGCCTCGTTTGTCCCTCTCTCATCCGGCTTCCCCGTCATTTGCAACCACGGGCTTTCTTGTCCCGTGTTTTCTTTCATGTCACTTCCGTGTTCGCGTCCTCTCATCTCATTTCCTTTGTTCTTTTGCGCGCGCATCTGCCCCGACCTTAGTGTGCTTGGTGCAACGAGGCTTTGCTCATCGGTTGTCCTGGTCGTTTGTGAGCCCGAAGTAGTGCCCTCCGTGGCCCAGTTGAACTGGGGATGCAGTGCGGATGCTCCGTCGCGATGATGGACAGAGCAGAGCCAGCTCAAGAGTGATATCAGCGATTTGGTCTTGAGCTGCCCGCCGGCCAGAGTAGCCTGTCTTCGACGTGGCCCAGCTGTCAGTGTACGGGAGATCACACCTAGTTTTACGTGTGCAGTGCGTCTCGTGCCAAGCTTGGCTATTGTTTGTTCCTTCCATCTGGTTTCCCTCATCGTCGACCACATGCTGTCCTTTTTGTTCTTTCGTGTCTTTCCCGTCTTCACGTCCTGTCATCTCATTTCTCTCATTTTTTGCGTGCTCATCTGCGTCATGAGGTTTTGCTCATCTGTTGTCCTTGGTCATCTGGTTTCGTTTTAGCCTCCACCTACATTGCGCGTTTTGATATCTTTCTTCCCGTTTCTTCATGCGTTCTTTTGCGTGTTCCCTCAAGCGCCCCCCCAATGGTTGTAACCTTTGGATTCACAAGGAGCCGGCGCACGGCATCCACAACCCACGGTGTACTTAGGGCTAATAGCGAACATCGTTACTAGTAAGGCACTTGTTACTACCAAGTCGCGCAGTTCTCGCCTTTCAGTGAAAGGAATTTTGTCTTTTCGATCGTGACCTTTGGCAGCTCGCAAGCGGACACAAAACATCGCACTAGCGAGTTGTGCAGTTCTCAGAAGACAGAAGACAAGATGCTACAACAGTCGTTGTGCTTCTTCTTTTTGTATTCAGTTGCCGAGTTTTTTGCGACATTTTCCCGGACCGACACGAGTGGACGAACTCGTGTCGTTCGTCGCCGTATCTGTCAGGCCCGGTTCGAGAAAGTTCAAGAATTGTTGGAAGAGATTTCATTTTGCCAAGAGCGTTGGGCTTTGCTGGACGAAACCTTCAGCACAAAGAAGAAGAAGGTGAGCGAAGTCGCGGCGTTCCAAAAGCTGGACTCCAACTGGAAGGCAGCTGCAGCTATTCTTTGACATATTTTTAAACTCTTGCTTTTTCACCCGGTTAAGTTTCCCTAAAAGTCTAGGAGCCAAATGAATAGTGCGAGCTCTTCTTCAAGGAAGCTTACCTCCACTAGCGGCCTACCCCCTCTTTAAAATACAAATTCTACTGTATTCTTCTTTTAAAGGGGTCTGTTTCTGCTGTGCCGTCTTCTTCTTCCTTCCTTGTTTTCTTTTTTTTCATCCACCCCCTTCTCCTTACCTCCTTGCTTCTCCTTGAGGCCCTGTTGAGTCGGTTGCAGTTTCGGAACGTGATCGAAGTGGCGTTGGATCAATGTGCCAACTTCCGGCAGCTTCGAGAGGCACGGCTCCGCGTCGCGGCGACAGAACAAGAAACAGATTTGACGGAACTTTGGAAAGAAACACATTTTTGCATTTTTTGATTTTTTTCGCAAATCATATTCTTCTTTCTCTCTCTCTCTCCTTTCTTTCTACAAAACACTAGAGCTTTAGGTTAGAAACTACTCATTTGGGTTAGAAGCACGGGTTGGACATTCTGGCAGCTCACGACAAATGACTCCGATTTCCGACTTGGATGTCGATATGATTTCAGCCCAAGCGCTCTATTTGTGAGCACGTGTTGCAGAAGCTAGAAAGGCGCCGAATGCTCCCAATTGTTAGCCTTCAGTATAGTCGTTGGGGAGCAAGCCCCACACTCAAACTAGGAGGCGGATGCCATCTCACGCTGCTGTCTACTCGAATGGGTCGCTTTTGGCATTTGCTTTTGATTTATTTTGGAGGCCATCGCTAGGGTGGAGGCCATTGCTAGGTTGGCCATATTTTTTGCGTTTGGCTTTGCAGCTTCGACTTCATTCTACGACCGGCCTCGGGTTTCGTTGTACGCTTCACTAGTGCGCCTTTAGGAGGCGCACCCTGTTTTTAGAGTCAGAGAGATTCGTCGAGTCTAGAGGTCGGGGTAGAACTTTTTGATGCATGTTCATAGTGCCCTTTGGAGGCAATGGAGAGCATCTCGAGAAACTTGCAGATGAACCCTTGAAACAGATGAGGGTTGAACCCTGGACAGCTGAAAATTGCTGTGCAACAGTGCTGAAGAACAGCACTAAAGGGGCGAAAGCGTCGAGAAAAAGGGCGAAAGCAGACAACGAGCAAAAGGAATCTAAAAACTTTACAAGAATCACATTAAGCGAACGCTAAAAAGCATTTTGATGCTCAACTGAAACACATAGCCAACTGATCCGAGACTCAACCATGCCAACGTGAACTGCACCGGGGTAGCTGTAAGGAGTAGGTCTCTAAGCAGTACGACTCAGAACGACATGAAAGAGACATGAAAGACATGAAAGAGATGACGGCACCAGTCGTCCAAAAAGACTGCCAACATGTCGTTGCAATGGAGGAAGTGCCTGGGCGAACGATGGTTTGAGGGCCCGAACTTTGCGCTAATGGGAAAGGCACTGGTGAAAGAAGGTGAACATAGCCATTTGATGGAGTAGTTTGTCGGATTTGTCTTTGTCACATTGAGTTTTGAGAAGAACGTGTGCAAACGTGCAGCAAATGTGACGAAAACGCTTTGACTTTTTCTTAGGCGTTTGAAGGATGTGGCTGCTCTGCATCTACGACAAATCCCATGCCTTCATGCTGCCGGCCGTTTAGATGAAACGAGAAACAGAGAAACGACAAAGAGAATATGAAAAGAAGATAAACTTGTTTTTAAAGACAAAGGAAACGACGGGTCCTTTGATCAGAGACCACACAAGTCTTCCATGAAGAAGAAAGCAAGACAAGAAGACAGATACATAAAGAAAGATGACAGAGTCTTTAAAAGAATAGAGTCAAAAGCAAGATGGAACCCACGAACCCGAATGCAAACACGTACTCAAAAACAAACACCCCAACAATCTTTGACCCTCTTGTAGGAGACACTTTTGTGGGACACCTTGCATGACACTCAGACTCACTCTTGTAGGACACTCTTGAGGGACACTCTTGTAGGACACTCTGTTGTGGGAGACTACCAAAGTCTCCAAAGTCAACCCTCACGCCAGCAGGAAGCTCCATGGGAGCACACGCATCAAGCAGCCCTGCCAAGCAGTTTTGCGATTCCAGCCCCTCCAAACAACGCCCGCGCGCGCGACATTCACCCCCACCACACCTCGCAACCTCACGATTCCCTGCGCCTGCCACGAAAATCGCGCTTCCACACCTCAAAGCACGCACAAAGTACTGCGCCTGCTGCGAAAAGTGACTCATGTGAGCTTCAACAAAATTTGCACCGTGCCACACTTTCGGAATGATTTCGACACGTTCTGAGCACACTCCCATCCACCAAAATCACCGTTTGAGCTGAGACTTGTCACGAAAACACAGCTTCGATGCAACGCCCTGAAACGCAAATCCCAATGTCACAGCTACATCCAACGAGAAAACTCCGAATCAGCGACCATGGTCCGAATCAGCGACCGCGAGTCAGCGACCAGCTTTTCCGAATCAGCCACGCATCAGCGACAAGGTGCCAGCGACCAGATTTTGCAAATCAGCGACCGGCTTTCCGAATCAGGGACCAGATGCCAGTGACCCGTTTGTGGCGAAGTAGCGACCAGGTAACAGGGCTTAGCCACAGGGCTTAGAGCCTGTAGATGGCGATTGGCTGGACAGTCGGTGAGACTACGGGCTCTTACGGTAATCGTTGAGGCTCGGTGTTTGGTCGAGGTGTTCCACGGCGTCTCCGGCTAAATCGCTGCTATTCGCACATGCCTCTCGAGATCCTCGAAGTGCGTTTCAACTGCGCAGGCTCGCAAAATCCGGTTTAGGGCTTCACTTCTTTAGGGTTTGCTTGGGCTTTGTTTAGGGCTTGGCTTCTTTAGGGCTTGTTTGTGCTTGGTTTAGGGTTGACTTCTTTAGAGTTTCTTTGGGCTTGGTTTAGGGTTACACTCTTTCAGGGTTAGATTTGGGCTTCGTTTTTTGGCTTCTTTATGCATTAGGTTTGGGGCTTGGCTTTTTTGGGGTTGTTCGTGCCTGGTTTAGGGTTGATGTCTTTGGGGTTTCTTCGGGTTTGGTTTTTGGCTTCGTGTCTCTAGGGTTTGCTTGGGCTTTGTTTAGGGCTTGACTCCTTTAGGGCTTGTTTTGGGTTGTTTTAGGGCTTGCCTTCTTTAGGAGGGTTTCTTTGGGATTGGTTCGGGGCTTGGCTTCTTTCGGGTTTTGATTGGGTTTGGTTTAAGGGCTTGGCTTCTTGAGGGTTGTTTGGCTTGTTTAAGGTTGGTTTAGGGCTTGACTTTTTTTGGTGGTTGTTGATAGGCTTGGTTTCAGGCTTCTCCTTTAGGGGTAGTTCTGGCTTTGTTTATGGCTTGGCTTTTGAAGGCAGGTTTGTTTTCACTTGGTTTCGGGCGTGACTTCTTAACTTTCGGGTTTGTTTGGGCTTGGTTTAGGGTTACACTCTGTTAGGGTTTGTTTGGGCTTCGTTTTGGGCTTGTCTTCTTTAGTTTAGGCAGGTTTCGTTTGGGCGGTGTTTAGGGCAGGGGTTCTTTAGGCTTTGTTTAGGGCTGGTATAGGGCTTGACTTCTTTGGTTTGTTTAGGGTTGGTATCATGTTTCACTTCTTTCGGGATTGCTTTGGCTTTGTTTTGGGCTTGGCTTCTTTGGTGGGTTTCGTTGCGGCGGTGTTTATGGCTTGGCTTCTTTAGGGTTTGTTTGCGCTTGGTTTTGGGTTGTTTTCTTTAGGGTTTGTTTGGGCTTGTCTCGCGCTTGACTTCTTTAGGTTTTCTTCGGGTTTGGTTTTTGGCTTCGTGTCTCTAGGGTTTGCTTGGGCTTTGTTTAGGGCTTGACTCCTTTAGGGCTTGTTTTGGGTTGTTTTAGGGCTTGCCTTCTTTAGGAGGGTTTCTTTGGGATTGGTTCGGGGCTTGGCTTCTTTCGGGTTTGATTGGGTTTGGTTTAAGATTGGCTTCTTGAGGGTTGGTTTGGCTGGTTTAAGGTTGGTTTAGGGCTTGACTTTTTTTGGTGGTTGTTGATAGGCTTGGTTTCAGGCTTCTCCTTTAGGGGTAGTTCTGGCTTTGTTTATGGCTTGGCTTTTGAAGGCAGGTTTGTTTTCACTTGGTTTCGGGCGTGACTTCTTAACTTTCGGGTTTGTTTGGGCTTGGTTTAGGGTTACACTCTGTTAGGGTTTGTTTGGGCTTTGTTTTGGGCTTGGCTTCTCTAGGCTTTGGTTGGGCTTGGTTTACGGCTTGGCTCCCTGAGGGTTTGTTTTTTTCCCGAAAGCATTGCGAAGGGTTCTTCTGGAAAATCACTTGAACACGTACACTGCTATACTTACACTTGAACACTTACACTTCTATACTTACAATGGCGCAGAAGTATCCAAGTGAAAGTTTGCAAGTGAAAGTATGCAAGTGTAAGTACCCCAGTGTAAGAGTGAAAGCGTCCAAGTGCAAGTATGCAAGTGTAAGTATCCCAGTGCAAGTATGCAAGTGTAAGTATCCCAGTGTAAGCGTGCAAGTGTAAGTATTCACCAGAAAAATTTGACTACCTAGATCAGAGTAGGATTAGATCAGAGCAGGGTCGCATGACATTCTATGTTTTTCTATTTTTTGCATTTTCACATGTTTTTATCACTTTTCCACATTTTTTAATCATATGTTCACATTTTAAATCATTTCTCACATTTTTCACATTTTTTCATTTTATTTTATTTAACAAGTGTTACTTTTGTTGGAAAAACACCTCAAACACAACATGGTTAATCAAATTGTGTTTCTTGGGGAGAAGTTATCCCAACGGCTGAACACAACTGACTGCAGCAGTCATATCACGCCCCAGTTTGCATGTGAAATTATGTTTTTGCATCTTTTTGCATATTTTTGCATATTTTCTCATGTTTCGAGATTTTTCGAGATTTTTTGAGATGTTTTGTGTTGTTGATTTTTTCTTTTATCACCTCGAGATTTTTTGAGATTTTTGTTGCTAAGATTTTAATTAAAAACATTTTTTTGCATTTTTTGGCAGTTTAAATCTCTTATCGAGATTTCAAACCTCTTTTGAAAGTCTTCCATTCCAAGGCCTCTCCGGTGAAGGTCATTGAATTTTCTTGGTGACGTGTGCAAGTGTGAGTATGAAAACTTTCACGGGAGATATCCTAATGAAAAACATTCCCCCACTTTATAAATTCTCTTTGAAGGCGGAGGGTGGGACGAACAGCGTCAACCGAAAACGCAACCCTCTGCGGAGATCGTGCGTGTCGAGTGCGCGAAATGCAGGCGAGAGCACGATTTGTCCTGGCCGCGCGCAACCCTCTGCGGAGATCGTGCGTGTCGAGTGCGCGAAATGCAGGCGAGAGTGCGATTAGTCCCATGCCCGCGCAACCCTCTGCGGAGATCGTGCGCGTGGAGGGCGTGAAATGCAGGCGAGAGTGCGTTTTGGAGACTTGTCGCTTCACTTTTGGAGGAAGTCTCGCACGAAACGCTCGTTTTGGAGACTTGACGCTTCACTTTTGGAGGAAGTCTCATACGAAACGCTCGTTTTGGAGACTTGCCGCTTCACTTTTGGAGGAAGTCTCGTACGAAACGCTCGTTGTGGAGACTTGCCGCTTCACTTTCGGAGGAAGTCTCGCACGAAACGCGCATTTTGGAGGCTTCCATGGAGCTTCACTTTTGGAGGGAGTCTCGCACGAAACGCTCGTGTTGGAGACGGGGCGCTTCACTTTTGAAGGAGGTCTCGGGCAAAACGCTCGTTTTGGAGACTTGGCACTGCACTTGTGGAGTTGGACTCAGACCTGGCCAGTTTGTAGTGCAAATGTAGGACGGGAAGAAGCTTTTCGGAGCTGGACTCAGAAGTGGCCAGTTTGTAGTACAAATGTCGTACGGGAAAGAGCTTTTCGGAGCACAAACTGCGAAAGTTGTTTGAGGCGTGGACGCAGCGCTACCCAGATGTCGGTGACTTGCGAGAGGTCAAGAACTTGCAGAAAAAAGGTGTTCCTGCGCGTCAGAGAGACATACAGAGAGAGACACATACACACACAGACATAGATTTACACACGCACAGAGACCCACACACTGCCTCAACACACTAGACTTAACACTTCACACGGAACACTTAACACACAACTCACACTCTAACTTCACACGTGGTGAAATATGCTTTCGGGCCACTCGTCATCTAGTGTTTCTTAATGCTTGACTTCTTTAGTGGGCTTGGTTTGGGGCTTGGCTTCTTTGGGGGTTGTTTGCGCTTGGCTTAAGGTTGACTTCTTTCGGGTTTCGTCAGGTTTGGTTTGGGTGTTCGCATTTAGCGTTTGCTTGGGCTCTGTTTAGGGCTTAGCTTCTTTGGGCTTTGGTCGGGCTTGGTTTACGGCTTGGTTTTGCCCTATCTTCAATCCTTCCAATTTGTAAAAGCTCCCTGCCAAAGGACAAAGCAGAAGTGCACGAAGGGGTTCGCCCCAAGCTTCAACCCTTCCAAAGGAGAAAATGATCGAAAAAGGGTAAAATACAGGTGCGCGAAGGGGTTCGCCCCAAGCTTCAATTATGCAATGGGGTACAATCCTTACGCGAGTTTGATTGGGTTTGGTTCAGGGCTTGGCTTCTTTAGGCTTTGTTTTGGCTTGTTTAGGGTTGGTATAGGGCTTGACTTCTCTGGGTTACTGAGGTTTGGTTTCAGCATTCACTTCTTTTGGGATTGCTTTGGCTTTGTTTAGGGCTTGGCTTCTTTAGGCGGGTTTGTTTGGGCTTCGCTTAGGGCTTGGCTTCTTTGGGGTTTGTTTGTTCTTGGTTTAGGGTTGACTTCTCAGGGTTTCTTTGGGCTTGGTTTAGGCTTCTTTATACGGTTTGTTTGTGGTTGGTCTAGGGTGAACTTCTTTAGGGTTTCTTCCTTTTTAGGGCTTCGCTGCTCCAAGGTTTGCTTGGGCTTTGTGAAGGGCTCGCCAGCGGGTTTCTTGCTTCCGCTGGCTTCCGCGTGCCGTGGGGAGAACTCCGAATCAGCGACCAGTTGGTGACTGATTCGGCGTTCTGGTGGCCGTTTCCTGGTGTCCAATTCGGACGCCGCCCCACATCCAATGCCAAAAAAAACACCGCCCTCCAAACGTCAATCCCAATGTGACTACGCAGAAAACTGCGGCTCTCACAAACTACGCTGCACCTGCGCAGTGAAATGATCCTCCACACTTCAACGTCTTACGTTTCCCCGTTAATTCGCACGAATCTGACACGTCATGCTTTCATCCGAAACCCTCTCCAAAACCCTCCCCCAATGTCAGCGCCTTAGCGGTTGCAAACGGTTGCGAACGGTTGCGGACGGTTGAGGACGGTCAAGGATCTATACCCCCAGACCCCCAGAGTTAAACGAGAACCCTTCGCTACGCATTCGGGAAAACTGCATGAGCCTTCAGAGTTTTGAGCTAGACCAGCAAGGGCAAGCTTGAAAGGCCCAGAACTGCCACTCTCGAAAGAACAAAAGAAAGGCCGTCGCTATAGTAGGGTGGTAGGTAGTCAGTAGGGTCTTAGTAACTAGTAGAACTAGTAGGTTTACTCCCTTACTTGGAGAACAGAAGAACCAAAAAACTTGTGGAACGCAGAGGTGGTACGCGCCTGTCGTTGCTTCAAACGGAGTCGCTACTACAGCCTGCAACAGGAGCCTGGCGTGTCACAGTCACGCAGAGTTAGATGTGGACAAGCGTATTGCTATTTTTCAAACATGGTTAAACGCAAAGTGACATTTTCTTGGGTAAACTTTCTTGCGCATCTTTGCCCCTGGCTTTGCCTTCTCCTTTGCTGCTTGCGTCTGTCCAGACCGGACTGACCTCCCAGGAGGATGGAGAAGCCGAAGCGAGCGCCGTGGAGGACAAGCGGCAAAATGTGAACGTTCTCCTTGGAGAGGTGGAGTCGGTGGAGTGCGAGAGGGTGAAGTGGAGACGAGTACACTTACTGCTGCCACGACACTGTTCCACATGTCCACAGCCTTCCAAAATCGCTGCAAACAGCTTGGAAATCAGCGCTCTAAGCGCGTGGTGTTTGAGCACATCCACCTAGCTTTTGGCCCAAACCCTGGCTTTTTCACCTTCCCGTGTCCTCAATGCTGGACCATCATGCGCAACAGCTCGCGTGGAGGGGGTTCCCCTTGATATGGGCTTGGACTAGCGCCTACGATTTCTGGATTCTCGCCCGGCAGAGAATTCCGAGTTGCCTTCTCCGATGCGAACTGGGGTCAATGTCGCTGGGCGCAAAATGTTTTTGGACAAGAGACTAGAGACGCTTTGTCGCGGAGCCGAGAGCGTGCGCCCGGTCTGACTCAGATATCAGCGCTGGCAAGTTAAAGAGCCCAGGCCCACGCTTGATCTAGCTTCTCAATGGCCAATGTTTTCGGCGTGGGGACCGAAAACGCCACTTTAGATATCGCTGCGAGATCCGAAGGCTGCCTTCAACATGTTGCGAGGCAGCGTGTTGCTTTAATCGACGAGGCCACTCGCCAGTGTGACCGAGCGTTGCGCTGTCCGGTCAGGCAGGCCGCGCTGTTTGCAGCTAAGGCGCTGTTGTTGGCGCTAGTTGCGTCTTCGCAACAAGTCCGGCTGCGTGAATGGCTACTACACTGAGGCCAGACGAAGCGCCCTCAAGTTTCTCTGTCTCTCTCTGCGTCTCTCTGTGTCTCTCTGTGTCTCTCTCTCTCTCTCTCTCGTCTCTCTCTCTCTCTCTCTAGAGACAGAGAGACCTCTCCCTCTCCTTCTCGCCTTGTGGATTGATACCAGTTCTTTTCTGACAGCTTGATCAAGCTTCTGTCACAGCAGATTTGACGTCCGCAGATTTCTTGGGGTGTATGGACCCGGGCCATTTCACTGACCCGCTCACAGGCTGGATTTGTGCATGACATGTGGCTGCTGTTTCGCGCAGAGCCACGCTCTCACAAATATGGGTTTGTGTTTTTAAGGTGTCCAGGTTATGTAGGGCTGGGATGTTCGACATAAACCTTCACGCTGTGCAAAGCATACCCCCGAAGCATATCTCCGAAGCGCGCCCGATAGTCAAACATCCCGGCCCGGGAACGCCAACAAATACAAACCCACATTTCAATTGCGTGGCAAGGAGGCGACGGGCTACTTTGCAAAGACGCACCGCTCGCTGAGCCCTTTCCGCTCCCGCCGAGCGCTTCAGCGACCCCTGACCTTCTTTGGGGTTGATCAGGATGCTTGTCGGGCCATGTCGTTCGTTGAGATCGTCTGATTGTGATCTCTGTGTGCAAGATGATGTAGTGCAGTTGATCTGTCCTGTTTCCTTGCGGACTCGGCCTATTATAATGTTCTTGCAAGACTTACAGACCACCTTTGGACGAGTTGCTATGGCCTTCTGGGTTACGAGAACACGCAGAGCTCGAGGTGCGCGGAGCATCCACAATGACAAGATGTACATAATAGTTTAATCATTGCGCAGCTCCATGCGTATTTCTGCGGACACGCAGGATTGTGGACCGAAAGCATATGTTATCATTGATTACTCATGATGCGCTGAGGGATTTGCGCTGTGCAAATACAAAGGTTGCGGTGAGGAAAATAGGTGCGCGTGTGCTTCAACTTGCGCAGAGATATTTCAGAACACGTAAACCCATATCTCGGTTCAATTATGCGTTTTGCTTTGGACGTGCGCCTGTTGTGTTCCTCCAGAATTACACCCTCAAGACAATAGGCGCTTCAGCGAGAAATTACGACTGGCTGTGGAAATACAAGGTCATGTTTCTCAAAGCATTCATACATTCATACACGAGTATTGTTTAAATCCCAGAAGGTAGTTCTTCTTAATTACAAAAGGGCAAACAGCGAGTATGGCTATGCAAATGCAAGGTCGTGCTTCTCAACGCGCGCGCGGTAATGTTTGACATTACACCAAGGTGTGACTCTGGACAAGCAGCAGGTTCTATCAGACGCAATGGGCTATGGAGAGAAAGCGAGCGTGGCCGTGAATACGTGGGTGTTTTTTTGGCGAAGCGCTATAGCTATGTGGCGGCGGAAACGCGCGGTTGGTTTCGAAATACACCAATGTAAAGGCGATAAACAAAATGTTTTTTCGCGAAGTGCAGAGTATGGCCGTGGGAATGCGCGGTGTTGTTCTTCAAACTAATGCAGGACCTATAGTTCAACTCACGAAGGTATTTCTCTCTATAAGGCTTTTCTGTGCATAAGGGTTTTGGTGAAAACGCTGAGTGTGCCAGTGGGGATGCACTGTTCTGTTCTTCGACGCATAAAAACGAGTATATGTTACCAGGAGCAAAAGAGTGTCAAGCCAAGAGGTAGACCTTTCCCCTGGAGGTCGTTGAGCGGAGAATTCCGCGGCAACTCGGGCGGTAACATGTAGCTCATGACCCTCTCCGTCTTGGATGCCGTTGGCGTCGTCAGCGATGATTTTGCGGCCTTGTCTCAACACTCTTAGAGCTTTCCTTCCTAGCAAGAGCTTTGCAGTGTCAAAGTGTGCGGCTCATCTCTCACCCAGGCAAGGCTTTCCGTGACTAGAGCCGCATCGTTCTGGGAGCTGAACTGAATGGGATATTGCTGGAAGTGTTATCGCGCAAACGAACTTGACGTATCTTGTCCAGAACCCTTCTGCTGAAACAAACGGAGAGCTCTCTTTGCTGGGGTGGGTTTTGGCTTCTGTGTCATGGACCTCATCTTTCAGGCTCGCGTTGCTGTTTGGGCTTGGTTGCCGGCATCTTGTTTGGCGTGGAGCGCGTGCAAGCGACTTCATGACCCTGATCTTGAACTCTCGAACTCTCTGATCTCAGCAACGTCGCGCGGGCCGTGGTAGCTAATCGCTCGACAACCAATGTCAGGCTTGAGGTCAGAGCCTTTGGCGCCCCTTTGTTTTGGGCTTCGATACTTCGCCACCTTGGTCTGGAGCGCCAAGGGTTGAGCTGGAGGGGGTGTGGCTGAATCTAGAAAAGGCTCCAACCTGCAGCCTGCGCGCAGCGCCCATATAGCCTCAACTGCGCGCAGTGTACTTCCTCGTTTGCTGCAGATCTGCTCCTCTGTTTTCAATCTCGGATCGATCGAGCTGACTGCGCAAAAGACGCATTCGCTTGATGCATTTGGGTGCTTCTACGAGAGAAACAAACAGCTCAGCCAGCCGACGCCTGTGGTGCCTGTGGTGCCCGTGCCAGGTGCTGATGAAAGCCTCCCTGGCAGGCGGGAAGGATGAACACATATTTCTCCAAACCAATTTTTTTGGGTTTGTTAAAAAGTAGAACCTAGCGGTGCCTGCAGTATTTTCAGCTTGACATTGAGACTGTGTTCAAGGCATGATTGGCGTCACAGTCCTTTGTGTGGCACTTGAATGGGCAACTTCTCTTTCTACGCATTTCAAAATTGTAAGAAGCGTCAATCTTGCGTCGAACGTGTTGAGCCTTACAGCTGCAAGACACCAGGCTTTGGGGTTCAAACTGACAAGTTTCCAGCGAACGCGTTCCAATCTTTGGAGGGTTGGACTTCGGAGGTGGGAGTTCAGCTCGAAGACTACTTATTGAAAAGTGCAATGCTTTCCGACGTATTCTGACCGAGTTTGCAAAAACCATGCGCCAATGCGGGTGCTCCATCTCTCAGCTATAGAAGCGCCAAGCCGACGAGCTGGTGGGCGGTCTGCTTCGCGATGCGTTGCAGAGAAGGAAGTGACGATGATGTTGAGGTCATGATGCTGATGATGCGGCGCTGTTGCAAGCTGTTGGCGAAGTTCAACTTGTCGTTGACTTGCCATGTGCTTTGAAAATTGAAAATAGGTCCGTTGATCTCACCAGTGCTTACTAGTGAAGCTCGCAGCTGCTCCACAATTTCGGCAAGCCAGTTTGTCGGACAAATTTGATTTTCTTCGTCAGATTTAAACACACGTAGCGACGTCCTGTAGTTTTGGCGACAAGACAAGATATGTCGGTGCGTCGGTCTTCGCTGACAAAAGGGGCCACGCAGCGCCCGAGGCCTTGTGAGAACGCAGGGCTTCACGGAGGATGAGATGGACAAACTTGCTGTTTGGGCGCCCTAGATGTGACAGCGACTCACGTGCTTTTTCAGAAGCCCTCCCTCGCGCGCAAGGACGTCCGAGTTGTGGACGAGGAGTACGAGTGGCTGCGCTTCAAGGAGGACTCGCCTTTGGTGCCTTGGATGTCATCAACCCCAAACTCAAAGGAAGACGCGCGGGGTAGGCCGGTAGGAGGAGTAATTAGCTTACACGTAGCTTCAGTTCTGCCTGCAAGGGAGAGCTTGTTCAAACAGCCGCTCAGCCACCCACACGTAGGACCAGCGCAACCGCCTGGCTTTTGGGCCTGAGCAACAAACGACTTCGCGCTTTGCATGGTAGCGGAGCTGTGGCTGTAAGGTGTCCACTCCGCTGCCTATACGCCATTGTTGCCGCGACCCGCCAGGGGCCGCCGTTTAAAGCGGGGGACCTCTAAGGCTTCTAAGGATCACAATCCACGCATCGCTTGCGGTGAAAGAGAAGAAACGGAAGAATGGAGTATTAAGGGAGGAAAAACTGCTGGTGGAGCAGTGATTGTCCCGCTAAGCGGTAGCTGATATCAAAGGTTAGAATTCATTTAAAGGCTTACGCCTGACAGCCGAGCGCCGGCCCAACAGAGTAGAAAAGTAGGACGGCGGAGGCCAAAGATAGGAGGTGAGGTGAGCGAGATGTCGGGTAGGGCGGAAACATCCCTGAAGTCTCTCTCCCTCTGTCTGTCTGTCTGTCTGTCGGTCGGTCGGTCGGTCGGTCGGTCGGTCGGTCGGTCGGTCGGTCTGTCTGTCTGTCTGTCTGTCTGTCTCTCTGTCTCTGTCTCTCTGTTTCTGTCTCTCTGTGTCTGTGTCTGTGTCTGTGTCTGTGTGTGTGTGTGTGTGTCTCTCTCTCTCTCTCTCTCTCCGCGCCTCTCCCCGTGTCTGTCTCTGTCTCTGTCTCTGGCTATGTTTCCCATATCTGGTTGAGGCTTTCTTGGCCCATCTACGGGCTATGTTTCCCATATCTGAGACCGATGTAGGGTCAAGTTCCACCAAGAGTTTGACCATTGACGCAAATGTCTACACCAAGGCTTAAGAGCTTTGCTGGTACCGGTGTGTCGTTGGCAGGCTGGTGTCTTGCAGACGTTGGCCGGATCCATGTAAAATCCCACGCGACAATCTTGGAAGTGTGCGCTCCGCTCCACGTATGCTTGTACAAGCAGGGCGCTCTGGGCTTGGGAGTTCGAATTGGAGCTAGAAAGAAAGGGCAATCAGTGATGGATGTGAGAGAAGACTTTGACGTGGAAGAGAAAGAGAAGCATCTGCTGGAGGTAGTGACCGATGCGGACCAGTGCTGGCAATCAAAATGACAAGAGCGACGTCGTTCCAGATCTTCATCCAAGCCACAGAACACAACACACGAGTTTAATTAAGCAAGCAACGGTGGCTGGACGCTCAGATGGACATATCCACCATTTATGGATGCAGATGAGAGGAATGCCGCGCGAAGGTGCGATTAGATAGCTCAGCAGCGCGTGCAATGGTGCAGCGCCAACGCAATGGAAGAGTACGCCATCTTGACGCAGCACTTCTTTCGGTCCAGCAGAAAAGGAGAAGGCGCTGAAATTCCAAAAGGTTTGAATTGTGCTGACATTGGCGCAAAGAATTTGTATGGCAGGCGACTCTGTGGACAGCGCGGGAGATCGCATTGGGGAGGAAGAGCGCCAGGAATTGCGCGTGGGTTTGGTTTGGCTGCTTGCAGGAACGCCCTGAGGAAGAAGGACAACAGGCTAGTGGATTGAAATGGATGATGGTTGGGGCTTTGAGCATCTTTGGATGGTTGTGGCTACATCGCTAAGCTTGCCCTGGGCACTGGCAGGAACCACATCAAGGGCCATGCTCAGGGACATGAAGCCTTACCACAACCGGATCGATTTCCATGCCTTGGAAGTCTATGAGGAGAATGCAGTGGATGGATGTGCAGAATGAGATTTGCAGATTGGAGCTCTACGCTGATGAGCTGGAGGAAGACGCCAGGAAGGCTTGAGAAGAGCGGCAGAGAAGCATGTTCAGAAGCTGATGGAACCCGCTTTGCAGTATACAATATCTTCGAAAATGGGAAAGTGATCATTTAGATCAGGACTGCCGACATTTTGCGAAGGCACCTTCTTCCCCACGTGTTCTAGATGCGTGGGTGCAGGGAAGTGTACAGCCACTTGTTTTTAGGCCCGAGCGATAAAGGATTTCGCGCTTCGCGCATTGTGAAACTTAAAGAGCAGACAATTTCAAACATGGTCCTTTTTGTTTTACATTTTTTTTGCAAAAGTTCGCACAAGGACGAGAATAAAAACGATGGAGCGAACCGCCCAAGCGAACTTTGTGTGTGGTGTACGGCTTCAACACACAAGTGAAGATGCGTGCATGCTTTCACATTTTATCGAACATGAACAAACTCCAGAAAAGAAACGACAATAGTTTGAGAGGCTTCTGCGTGGCTTCTCAGGTCTTGTACTTAGCCACAGTGGAGATGCTCATTTGCGGCTCATGTGCTGTCACAGCTGCTGCAATGTACCAGCGGAGAGGGTCAGAGCCCAAGGTGTTGGTACATCGTCGGAGTCGGTTCGATTTTCTTTTGAATTGTCAAAGCTCTCAAACGCCGTCCTATCTTGAGTGAATTGGAGCAGCAGAACGTGGTAACGCCGGGTGCTGTTTGGAACCTTAAGCCTTAAGTGCTGTTTCGGTTGGGAGTGGTTCGCTTTCTCGGAATTCCAAGCTTGCGTGCTGCGTTCGGGGTGGGCAGGGTAGACAAACAAGCATATCGATTTGCGCTTTAGAGTTATTTGCAGTTCCCATCAGAAAGCAAAATGCAGTTGGGTTTAAATCTCTGGGGCTGGGAGAGGTGTGTAGTTTGACATTGCGCACTGACAAGCGATGCGTTCCGGCAGCAGAATGCTGTTGGATTTCAATTTTTTGGGGCGTTCCAGCTGGGAGTCTTGCAACTTAATTTTGAAACTTTGCTGCCACTGAAGCCTCAACTTGGAACGGCGCGGGTCAGGTGTTGTGATCGGACTTCCGCTTGACTGTAAGGTGCTGTGATTGGCCTTGGGCCCTGTTGATTCCAATCGCTGCAGCTAAAAACTTGGGGCAACGTTTCTCAGCGTGGACGGGAGGCCGACTGCGCAGATCGTTCGATAGATGGCCGCGGTGTGGTATAAGATCAATTGCGCGCTGGACCGGTGACCAAATACCAATGGCCTCCGGCCTAAGAGCACTGGCCTCCAATCATAGGAAGGCTTCCAGCCTAATAGCGATGGCCACGAACCTAAGAGCAATGGCCTCCAACCTAAT